GATGTATCCTCTGTATCCCCGATGTATCCTCTGTATCCCCGATGTATCCTCCGTATCCTCTGTATCCCGACCGTATCCGGGATAGACGGAATCCGCTTTTTCCCCCTTGGTAAAACTACAGTAGTGGACAAAAGTCTCCGCCCCCCTAGAACTTTCTAGAAATAAAAGAACTTTCCATAAGAATAGTATAAATAGAGAGCACTAGCCACTCCCTGATCAGAGCCATCGTTCATCCCATCCACATCATCTTCGGTCATTAGCTCTGAACTATGTCTTTACCGACACACCAGCGATATGAAATCATCTTTTTATCTCAACATCCATTGAGTTCAAAGCTCGATCACAAGTCCGTGGTGGAAGCAGTTAAGTGTAGCACGTCGACAGTACAATATTGGCTCAATCGATGAAAACAGTCAAAAGATTTGAGCGATTCAGCTCGATCTGGTTGACCACGTGCAACGACTCCAAAACAAGATCAACAAATTGTCTCGCTTGCCGAACAACAGACATTCATTACAAGCCGAGACATCACGAAACAATTGAACAGAAAATGAGTCAAGATCAACAAGAGAACGGTGCGACGATGCTTGAACAAAGCAGGAGCAAAATACAATCGGTTTTTGTCGAAGCCATTACTCACCAAAAACCATCGGATGAATCGTTTAAAATGGGCGCAAGATCACAAAGCTACGGAATGGCACCAAGTGATCTTTTCTGACGAGACAACCATTCGTCTAAGTTGCGTCACAGGATTGGTTTGGAACTTACCTGGAAAAAAAAGTCATGCAAACTGTCAAGCATCCAATCAAAATCAATGTTTGGGCTTGCTTCTCAAGTAAAGGTTTCGGTCGCATGGTCTGTTTTAAACATAGCCTAAGTGCAGAATTAATGTGTGATATTTACAAGCGTGGTCTCTTGTCAACAGCCCTGAAACAATTTGGTCATGATTCAACGTTATGGAAGCTGCAAGAAGACAATGACCCAAAACATACATCGAAACTAGCAGTCAATTGGAAAAGGAATAATGGAGTTCATGAAATTCAGTGGTCGTCAATGTCATCTGATCTGGCACCCATCGAAAATGTATGGCAACTACTCAAGATAAATTTAAGAAGAAAAAAAATGGAAAGTTATCAATCTTTGGTTTCGGCCATAAAGCGAGAATGGAAGTCCTTACCATCGGAATTAGCTATAAAACTTGTACATAGTATGAACAATCAAATGTCTGAAGTTATTGAAAGTGATGGTGACTTTATATTGCGTTAATGATTAGAGTGTACTATAAGTTTCTGTAAAATATAAAAGTTCTCATCTCATCAACAGATTTAGTAAAGTTAGAGGGGAGCGGAGACTTTTGTCTAGTAATGTATGTCACGAGCGGGATGACCATTCTGCAGTTTCGTGAAAATCTTGTGCAATCTTTACTCCTTGGTGTACCATTCGCGAAGCTAAAATTTGGTCTGCGACCACATGCAACAAGCCATTCGAAGAGCAGACTAGTTCACTAAAAGCTCGAAGAAAAAGAAGGATTTGCACGTATCGTGCAAAGATGCTATGCTCACTGCTACGAAAAAAGCAGAGTACAACAATCAACAGAAGCAAATCATTCGATAGCAAGGAAAATAAAAACGACGTCCGTTCTAATTGTGACACAACACTTTTGTCTTGTTTGTTTTAACGCAAAACATCATGCTACGCGATAAATCACTCGAACATCCATAGAGGCAGAGCAGAGGACACACTACATGTAATCTCCTGCCTAAGAAAAAGGAAAAGAATGTGTTTTTCTATTAAGTTTATGATTGAAATATATCGGGACTTTATGGTGGATCCTATCGCCTCAAATGTGTTAATAATATTGAAAGTTCATTTATTTTAATCTATTAGTTAAAATAAAAATAAAATTATAGTGTTATATTCCGCTTGGTGCACCGCTTTTTCGTACATCACTACAAGCCCATAATTGATTTTCTTGTTTTCTCCATTCAATACCTTGTACAATTGATCCTCCATACATACCACACTGAATATTATGACCAAGTTTTCTCAGTTCTTCTAGAATAGTCTAAATAAAAATAAAAATAAAAATTTAATTAAATATCAAACTAAAAATTTACTTGATTAAAACCTTGTTCAGCTAAAACTTCTTCTGGCAATAATTGTGAATGTAATCTTGGAGCATCAATTGCCTGTTTAATATCTTTTCTAAACCATAAATTAAGCATAGATACTTGAACAACAGCTGTTGTTATTTTAGTTCCACCACTACCACCTAAAACTTGTAAAACACGTTGATCTTTTTGATCAAACATAATTAAAGGTGCCATTGATGAAGTTGGTCGTTTACCAGGTGTAATATAATTAGCTGGACTAGCAGGAACACCAAAGAAATTTGTTGTATTTGGTGTAGAAAAATCATCCATTTGATCATTATAAATAATACCTGTTTCAGTACCAAGTACTGTTGAACCAAAACTAGAACATAACTAATCATATTTATTTAAAATTCAAGTGTATAAATGTCTACTATAGATTGATAGTTGATGTCATTGCTACAGCATCACCGTTATGTCCAATGACTGATAAATGAGATGTACCAGTTTTGACTTTATCTAGCCATGTTCCTCCATAATGTTGAAATCCATATGTTTTAGAATCACTTAATCAATAAAAACAAATAGAAACGTGTTTCATAATTAAAATAGGATACATACTCAATACGTTGTCTTATACGATCAGCATATTCTATTGATGTCAGGTTTTGAATGAGCTTAACGAATAATAAAATATTATCGTACAGAATAATAAAAGGCTGGCTTCTTTTTCTTCTTTAAATTTATCTCACGATGGAATTTTATGAAATGCTAAAACGTATTCAACCCTAGCTGTTGTGCATCACTTAGAAAATCAATAGGCTATGAAAGTTGTTATTTAGCTGCGATATTGAGTTTTTAATAAATTTTTCCAGTAGGATCCCAATCTTCTAGTAAAATCATAGTTTTGTATTTCAATCAAAAATCTTTGTAATTACTTTTCCAAAATCTATGTTTATTTGGATACGTGTTTATATTTTGAAAACTACATATTTTGGAGTCAAAATGTCCAAAATTTCTGAAATTCTTTATACAAGTTAATCTAATTAAGGCTGATGTTTGTATGATCTTTTTTGATCGAAATACAAAACTATGATTGTACTCGAGAATTGAGGTCCTATTGGAAAAATTAAAAAAATAATTTAGCATGTCATCTAAATAGCAACTTGTGC